GCTCGAGTCGACCTCTCCACTGAAAAAAAATGTGGGAATCCACTCACTGTGTCCTTTTCCGCCCATGAATTATCAATTGTATTATACTACAAAGTTCGGCTATGAAAGAGCACATGTGAATAGCAGTTTTACCCGACATTCATCGTACACAAATTAGACTGACACACAATCCTTATCCTAACAATGCCACCCTGCAACCACCTACTAGACTGCTATCAAAAAGTAGTTAGTTGATAAAATTAGTTGACAGAATATCAAATCTACCTCTGAAGACGCAAGGGTAAGTGCTCCATTGGCCGTTCTTCTCTTATTCAAAACTTTGGACAGCTTCATCAAGCCACGTAAACCGATAGTGACGTCATCGTTCTGAAATGAAGAAATTTCGTCTGCTCAACGCGCTACGGAAAGCAATGATAAACTCACCAAATTAGGATCATCAATGAATTCCTGCGCTTTTTCGTAAGTGAGCGCTGCCTTTGAACATATCAAGGACTTGTGGTATTTGGTATCCAGAATTTCTGCATCGCTTGTCATGGTCCAAATAACGGAGAACGCATATCTGAATCAACGGGTGTGCAGTACAAAGAGCATCTATAATCGTCCTTCCAGGGCATCTAATCACAGCGCATCTTGTTATTTTTAACCTCTGATCATACAGTCAACAATAGATTTCAATTCGTTAACAGAGTAGGTGTCTTGCAAAATTGGTGCCCTCATAGGGCTGACTAGTAGCCGTCCAAATTCAGAAATCTACTTCTAGAATGACCTTTTAGAATGTTGACGAATCCTATTTATGGTGAAAGGATCTGATAGGAGCCATGAAATCATTCCAGTTCTCTGAGAACACGAAACCACTGAAATACTAACCGTTCTTCGCCACCTCTTAAGGAGCACAGGTTGCTACTCAACATGGCAGGAAGCATATCAATTCGACGATCACACAAATAGACAGTCGTTCCTCGGCTTGCTGCTTCTTCATCAATCGCTGTACCGGGCCTAACAAAATGTGTCACGTCTGCTATGTGAACGCCTACCTGAAATAGTCACTACTACAGAAAACATGTCGTTCTGAAAATAGGACTACTATCTACCTCCAAAAGACCATTGTCCAAAGGTCGACAGTGGAGTGCATCATCAATATCAGTGCATCCGAGTGGATCAACCTGAAAGCTATTTACAACCGACATTTGAAACACACATCTCATATCTCACCAAATCTGCCTACTCTTGTTCATCACCCTAAAATATTTGACCGCCTTGAACAGGATACTATGACATTCATTTGTCCGATTTGAAACAAATCTCAAAACAAGAGCATGATTAGTCCCATTTTGTGAACTAGTTGGGGGTGATCGCCCATCGAGAAACTTGCATTTTGAAAGTGAAATAGCCGAATCCCCTCACAGCGCCTGCAGTGGACTAAAGGTGTGGCCTCTAGACGTTCCCATAAAGACCAATCGATTTTATCCCGTTTGACCGCACACTATGACCGAGATCATGGATCGCTAGATCGCGCCCCCCCCCCCCCCCCATTATCGGTATCTACTCACGCGCCGGACTATAAACGAAAGCGATGCAATAGAAAAGTTTAAAAGAAACCGTTCAGTGAAGTATATAATACTGAAACCCACCGAGCAGATTGTTAGATGACGTAGATCAATTCTAGGTGGCTTCAAATCCGGCTTCCAATCTTCACTAGGCAAACATTCTAGCACACCATCGGAGAAGGGAGCATGAGGGATGTCATGCTCAAGAAGAAGCACCTTAAATTAGTTACATTAACTTTTGCGATTTATAGTTACCTCTTGTTACAACAAAACATTGCTCATCCGATTTCTGGTCACAAGCACGCAGAAGTTACTTGTTTTCGTGTCTGATTCCTTAGTGATTTCGCTTGCCTTGTGATTGCGGTAAGCAAAACCCTTTGAACGCGATAGATAAAACAAACAAATCAATTAACTGATAAATGAGAATTGAAAACCCTTACTTCGTTCTCAATCTCGCGATCTCCAATCTTTCCAAGAGCAGACCGCACATGGTCCAAGTGGATAATCTGCTCGTCGCGGCCACTGTCGGATACCACCACATATGCGGTTGATTTTTCAAGAATGATCCGCCTCATAAAACGCGAGTTTTTGTGCAAAAAGCGTCACTGAACAGCGAATGTAGATTGTCTGATGCGTATATCTCAAAAATATGATTGCAAAAACATGCTGTCAAAACAAAACGTAAAAGCCAGTGAACGAAGCCCAATAAAGAAGACTGGAACTGGAATTGTCTATTACCTGTTCAGTTTCTATCCGAATTCGCGGAATAAGCCGATCTAGCAACAGACAGAACAGATGGCGACGTCCACCCTTCAACTGGCTTCGCATAAGGATGCCACAATATGGTCGCCAGTTCCGTTTCATTATCCCAACAACCTGAACGATAGCGCTGATATTTGGTAACGTTGCAATCAAAGACTACACAATGTTTCGCAATGAATGTGGATTCTTTGATAATTTCTGAGCTTTAGATCCCATGAGTATAGGATAACCCTGTAAAAAAAACAAGAACGAAAAGGAAAAAAATAAGAGATGGAAAATGGTCATAGCAATAAAAAAACCTACCTTAGCTGTAGGTACAGGTGTCAGCTTGGCCCGCTTAACTTTCGGTGCCTCTTCAGAGTCATCTGCTTCAGTTTCGTCATCAGCCTTCATTTCCAGATCTTCCACATCACGTAGTCGAACTTTCTGTAACCAGGAATGAAAAATGCAGGAAAATCTTCACTTGGACCTCCAGTACCTTTTCTGGTAACGACCATTCCTCTTCAGGCAACAGTTGCACAGCAACAATATCACCATCAATTGCCCTATTGCTGTCCAATCCATGGATGAACCAGGACGTCATCGTACTAGAATCCACCAGGACAAACGCCTCACGATAATTCTCTCGAGATACCTATAATATGAATCGAATTCGTGAAAGAACCAAAAAAAAAGAAAAACAATGACAAGGCATGTCTAAAAGTGCTGGTCTAAAGGTGCAGGAGTGTAGAATGAAGATGGGTCTCATCCAGTATAGGGGATATGTGGTGCGGTAGATGTTGCCAGCTACAGAAATTCCAATTTTCCAAGGGAAGAGGAATCCCGGGGTGCGTGAACCATTCGCTCAAGCTTTTACACCTACCCTGAGCTTCCTTCTTCTGCAGAGAAGTGGATTACTTCTTGGGATATGAATTGTCGCTCCCCACCCCCTCCCCTTACTGGATGAGACCCATACAGAATTTGAGTTCAAATCTCAAGAGGGAAGAAATGTGAATGAAAGCAGAAGCAAATCAAGAGCAAGCGAAAGGAAAAATTTAAGAAAGTGTGCAATGCAACTTACAGAAAATGTCCCTTTTTTGATAGTTCCATGAGCAATGCCTTTGGTAATTTCATCATGAGACAAATAATTCTCATATATGATTTTACCACCCGAGCTCGACGAATCATAAGCGGCCATAGCATCGAGTAAATCACGTTTCTTTTCACTTTGCATACCTGAAATGATGCGCAATGAATACGATTGTTCAAGACCATAATCAATGGAAATGAAGCATCGATCAGAAAACAGCAAACCTTGAACATAATCTTTCACAGTATACGAGTACTCATAATTATCCTTTAGCCTTGTCAGTACATCGTCTTCAGCGCATAAAATGATAGGAATTATGTCGCGTTTAGCCCAATGCTTATTTAGATAATCCGCACAGACATAAAGAACTTTTTCACGCCTGAAATTAGACATTTGGAAACCGAGGTAATTTTTCTGAAGCGGCGATGAAATGTAAATTACCGTAAACTATCACTGAGGCCTGGCTCAGGACGCACAAAGGTCTTGTGATGGAACTCGCTCATGAATACCGAAAACCGTGGATCCTTGTCTTCGTAAACAAATTTGTTCAGCTTCTTATAAGCATTGATGGATTTCTGCTTGACAAATTCCCACACATTTTGCGTTATAATAACATTCCTAGAAGAAAACACAATTCCTTCAGGAAAATATAAGGAAGAAAGAACGCTTGATACTTGTTGCCAAGACTGGCTTACCAACTCTCAACGTTATATGCGTGAGCGCGATAAAAGAAGAAAGCTACTTGCATGCATCTTTTTAGCATGCGCTATACATTGCTTAGCAAGCCCAAATGAGAATTCAAAGCAGCTAGTCAGGCAGTAGTAAATAACCGACCCCACAAGGATGGAAGGTTTGCAAACATGGGCAACAGGCTACCCGACATTTCAGCCCGAAACCTGGTAGTGAGTGGCCCAATTTCCACTTCATCGTTTCCTTGCGAGCACTGATAAGCTGTATCATTCAAAAGGAGAAGCGTGGCATTTCCAAAAAAGGATATGCACGGTGTCTTGAAAACAAGAAAGAGATCAATTCCCATGCAAGGCTAAAATTCTAGCCCATAACTCAGTATCTTCGGAATGATTTCTTGAGAAATAGTAACGATGAATCGAAACTAGCTTACCCTTGAAGTTTAACGACACAGAGTACAAAGAACTCACTGAAACAAATTAGAGTCGAATATGTCGATAAAACGCATGAAAACTTCAGAGTCCACGATAACAGCATGATTACTTTTGATAAGCGTGTTCTCGTCCTTATTTGGTTTCCTTCCCAACGTGTTGTTTCCTAAAGGTGAACAAGGTTCACAACTGTGAAGTCCACATGATAGATCATCTCGAAGATACCGCTTCCACAGTTCGCTAAAATTACGCATTTTCCCTTGGTTTTTTCGCATGGTTCCATATATAACTATGGAAAAAAAGAAACAAAAAACAATGCAAACCCTCAAGCATCTGTTCGCTGATCTGTGAAAGTTGTGGTAGAATCAAGGCGATCAACAATCCACTTTGCGTAATTCAATTCATGGTTTCAAGTGTTCGAACTGAAAAGTCAAATAGATGCAAAAAGTAACTTACGGTTTCTCAGCTGAAACATATTCAAAAGAAAAAGCTCCAGGAACGCCCTCATGTATTAAATTTGAATTCGCTGAATATTGTGAAATACACCTGCAGGTCGGCGTCGGGTCAGTGATTGGAGCGCCGAGGTGACAGATCCTGCCAACTCCATCGGTTTGGATTACACTCGGGGTTAGCATCAAGTGTTCTTTTCTGATAATATCAGATATGGAGTGCAGCCAAATTACGAGTCACTAAGATGACTCCTCTCAATACGCATGACACAGGAACGGGCGCTGCACAGTCGGGCTTTACATTGGACCTTCGGGCCTCTCCTATGCGACCGCGGCTTATGCGATCGCTGCGATTGTTTTTATGGTCGCTGATTATAAGTTGAAGATGGCGCATTCAAAGAAATGAGCAACTGACCATCCTATCCTACGTCCCTTGACACCAAACGCGAAAGAAACAAAAATAGAGCGATAAGGGCACCTCCTGTTCTAGCGAATAATCTGAACAGATTATTTGGTTCACACCGAACAGTTTGTCAAGATGTGCCAAAAACTCCATCTGTTGAAAGTTGTGGAAGAGCTCAGAAGCATTTTTGAATCAAATTTATCGAAGTGACAGCGAACAAAGTGCGTAATGCATACATCACTGCTGTTCCCTTCAGTGTAGGAGAGCCACCTCAGCTAGACGGTGTCAGAATTTGCGTATCCTGCGATTCGCAGGCCCTTTTCCTGTTACAATACTTCGACATTTATTGTCTATCTATCTTTTACTATCATATTCATCAGGAGTTCTTTTATCGTGATTCGTGCGTCCATCGGATTGAAATTATTCATCACCAAGCTGGGCTCAACACTCACAGTCGTAGCACCTAGGCGGTAGGCTGAACATACAAATGAAATTGGACAATCGCTGTTCCCATCTTGGTTGAATTATAATTCTTCCTCTATACAATTTTGAATGGACACATTTTTCGAAGTGCCTCGTGCGTGGCGCGACGAAAATTGGTGCCCGTTCATAGTGGAGGCTAACACCGTTAACAAAATATACAGAGAACAAGAAATGTGTTTGAACAAACAAACAAAAATGAATATTATAATTGGAAAAGGAATAACAATAAAACTATGAGTATTCTACAGCTTCCACTTCAAAGCTAAACAATCTATTCCAGGCGGTTGAACACCCTTGGCCCTCCTCTTTGATACCGCCTCATTTCTTTCGTTACAACTTTCTCCCATGCTTCGATATCCTTCCTGCAAATAAAAAGAAGCTGTGATAAAGCATGACTTCATGCATAAAGACATTGGCTTTTTCCATAGGATGCACTTTTTTCCTACCTATCTCTCTCCTTCATGAATTCTTTTTCTGCCCATAGCTTCTGCATCATGTAAGCGTCACCGTCCAAGTAAGGAACTTCGTACTCCTTTGTACCTTCTGTAGGAGGTTCCAAGTGCTCTTCTGCTTGCTTTCTTAAGTAGATCATCATAAAAATACGCAATTACAAAGATACTTCCCAGGTTAATTGAAAGAGCACACACTTGTAAGTGAAGCCCATGAATGAAGTGACGGTTCGCATTGGTGGACTTGCGCTATCGCCTGTCTCCAGTTGGAAGTACGCATCATTTCGTTCATGAACAACGGTTTCGATATTACGCATCGTCTGAAAAGTATTACTAATCGCATCACAATAGGCAGAAGCATGAACATTAACATCTGTCTGTATTCATTGAATGTGCGCTATCTGCACTGCACCAAAAAAAGAAACATAGGAAACTGAGGATAAGGCAATTTCAGAAAATTCAGCAGCTTGTGAAAAAAGACGAAATAATGGAAGCGTTAGCGGTCCATATTAGGCCAGTTCACAGAGAGAAGTAACCAGGCCTGCGCTTTGCTCCCCTCACAAGGGAGGTCTTTCAGGGCAAGCCACGCTTTTTCAAAACGGTTTTGTGCATATTGTAGGGACGCATGTAGGGAACACAAAACCATGTTTCATTTTCGCTGAACGGTTTAGCAGTACCAAAAAAGAAGCATAAGGTACTGTTAATGGTTCGATCCCCGTGGCGACTAAATTTTGCATTTGGGTTGGCGCCTACGGTTGGTGCCAAATCGCGCTAAATGTCAAAATCAGATGTCATATTCATCGTCAGGACCATTTTGAAGCCAACAAGTGGCCGCCAACCTTGATTGCAAAATTTAGTCGCCGCGGGGATCGAACCATCAAGGGTATCATTCACCACTTTTTTGATACTACTAAAACCGTTCAGCGAAAACGAAACATGGTTTTGTGGTCCATACATGCGTCCCTACAATATGCAAGAAAACCGTTTCCAAAAGCGCGGCTTGCCCTGAAAGACCCTTGAGAGCTCATGCTAACTTGACCAGAGCGATCCATTGTAAAGTGGTATTATCCCACCATTTGCTCCCAAATTTAGTGGTAATACGTTCCTGCCGTAGTTCGAGATGTTGCCATGGGTAGTATGGACACATGTCAAGAATTACTTGGTCCTAAACCTGAAGAAAACCCTCAAATGAGGACATGTCATAGACACTAGTCTAGATTTGGCAAGTACATTCTGTGACAGCATAATGCGAGAGTCAGTCCTGAGATACAGATCGGTCTATATCGGAATCAAGAGAAGAATTTCCCAATGTCGTAGAAAACCAAAGGTGATGGAGTCCATGGGGAAGATCTAATCAGGCTCAGACAGCGCGATATGTGGGTTTCATTCCGTTCACTTGGTAGAGGGTAGGTGGTCGTTTCGCATGATCAGCTGCCATGTAAAGGCAGCTATTCACGCGAAACGACCGCAGCTGCACATTGATCTGAGCATGGCCTACGATCGTTTCTGTTTTGATTACTGAAGGAAGCGGTTAATTGAAGTCATCTGCAGTGATTTCTGAATTACACAAGAAGACCTTAAAACCTATGTAAATCCAACCTTAAAAACAGCTGATTTGGGATAACTTCCTCTCCCTGCTTGGTGTAAACTTGGAATCTGCCGCTGTGTATTCCGTAATCCTTCATGGATTATTTGACCCATTCATTCCTTGCCTCTTTTTACCTATGAGTGCTGATAGAGCTTGGATACGAAGTGAATTCTTCAAGATTGGCCGATGTCAGACTCTGCGATTGGAGCGATTCGGTCAAATGTGAATCGCGCGACCATCGCGCGATTCGCGCGATTCACATTTGACCGAATCGCTCCAATCGCAGAGTCTGACATCGGCCATTGGAACGCTGCACAACGCCCAAGGCTGTCCGACATGCGGCTGTACGAACTCTGAAACTTCGACTCGACATCGACATCTCCATACGACTACAGTCCCAACGATGTTTGCAGATCTAGAAGCTATCACGCTACGGCGTCATGTCGTGAGTTCTTGCAATATGAATTACACAGTAGAGATCTTCTTCATTTGTTTTTGGACCACATGACAAGAACTTTTGACAACTGGTAATGGAAAACAACCTATGGTGAGTTTCATCTTAGGGCGCATGCATAGTCGGTCGTCCGACAGCAACGATCGTAACTGTCGCACAGCATTAGATGCGTATCGATCGTCGACTTGCCTGAGTATTCGACGGCGATAAGTATCTTAGTAGTAAGGTATCTAACACTGTGCGACCGATACGATCGTTGCTGTCGGACGACCGACTATGCATGCGCCCTTGCGCACGGGGTAGCTGCCGCAGTTGCCACTATCCCAGCGTTGCTCTAAGTAAAACCATAACAACAGAAAATTTGTTAACCCACCAACCCTTCCAATCCTTAACACGTTGAGGACAGCAGACGCTCGTACGCGTTAGAATTTCATCAGATTCTGATTAGTTTTTTTTTAGCATTTTTC